ATTTACTTCAACTTCCTTATAAGCGCAATACTAATTTTCCTAAATATCCAAGTAAGGATAATGCAGTTTAAACAGCAAAAAAACTTATTACATTTAGATAACAAAGTTAAATAACATACATATCCTAGAGGTCCACCAGAGGGCAGTTTAGGAAAAGCGTTAATGATTGACATTGCAAGATTTATTTTTGTTGCTCTTGATGGATACCTAAAGTAAATGCATAGTATATACAGTAGAATCCCATTAACTCTGACACTTAAGGGGTATATATTTATTGTCCGATTTAGCTAATGTCCGAATTAAGCAAAGGTCTTGTTAAGTCGGACTTTTTGAAAATGTCTGACTTATTGAGATTTTGAGACTTAACGAATGTTCCATGAAATATAAATATTATGTACATATATATAGAACAATATAATCTTATGTGAAATATATATTTTTGCATATATAATATATACTATAAACGAAAAAAGTCAGAAATTGGTCAGAAAAGTCAGCAACCTTGGTCTTTTTTAGTAAATAAAACTTGATCAAAGTATAACTGAATCGAAGATATTAGTGAAAATGTTTAGTTCGTTAAATTGTGTTTGACGCAAAAGTAATTAGTTTTTGAACGTTTTAAGTTTTGAATTTTAATTGATATTTTTAAATTTTTAATGTAATAGTTATTAACAAATAGAATTTAATTGAAGCTTAACTGATTCGAAAGAACTCTGTGAAAATGTTTAGCCATGTTTAATTATATTTGACGCAAAAGTGTTATATTTTTGAGCGTTTATAGTTTGGAATTTTTATTAAAGTATAGGAGGTTTTATTATATGTACTTATATGCGGTAGTGGTGTAGTGGTAAAACACTCGCTTCATAAGCGAGAGGTTCCTAGTTCGATCCCCACCACGTCCCTGGTAGTACTGCGCTCAACTTGTTTCTCTGCGCAGCGGCCTTGTTCGTCAAGGTTTGTGTTTCAGAGTTATAGAGTTGAGAGAGGGTTATAACCACTATTAAGTAGCCTCCTCGTCTGTAGTGGCCTTCTCGGCATTAAAAAGTTAAATAACAAAAAAAAAAAAAATATGCAATTCAAAATAATAATCCTAGTTAAGCAAAGCTTTTCAAAAAATAGTACGAGTTACCAGATAATTTTACAGTAAGTTGATAGAGAATATTCAAGGGGAATTGAAATTCCATCCGACTTATTCAGTGTCTGAGTTAACATGATTCAGCTGTATCTAATAAATCAATAAGCACAATATCTAAAAAACGTTATAGATTTAAGTTAAACAGATAGATTCACAGATAGATTCAGTTGAAAAATCTTTAGGGCAAAAGTACATAATAATATTAAGTTTACCTTTTCTGCTGCAATGACAGACTGAAGCTTTATAGCTTGATCCATTTTTATTACAATACAATGAAACAAAACAAAGTTCATTTGCAAAAATGCATCTCCATCAATATCTTCACCTTTTAATAGTAAGTTTACGAAAGATAACATTTTCAAAGTTATTTCAACTAATTAAATTTGTTTTATGCATTAATGTTTAAAACTAAACTTATATGTAGTAAATACTTACTCGACAATTGTTTTCAGTTGCTTTGAGTGTTTAAATTTTTTAACATTATCGAACAAGTTCTTTGAAAAAGCGAAAAATTAAGAATAAAAGTTCAGGTTTAGGTTTTTACAGGTTTGTGCGTTTTGTCTAAAGTTCAGGAGTAATTTATATCAACAGTAACTGTTGATCTAAATTAATCCTGAACTGACCAGGCAAAAGGTAGCTTAATGAGGTATCATCAGAACGCAACAATCAAACTTTCAGTTGTTTTGCCTGAAGTTAAAAAACAGCTGAACCTGAACAGTTCAAGCAAATTGAAATGTTCTGACTAGTTTACAAAACTTTTAAAAATGTGTACAAAACTATTTTAAACAAAAATTAAACATTTATTGTTTACATAACTTTAGCTACATAATTAAATTTCAAGGATTGAATTTTTCCTCTGTTTAACAAAATTTGATGCGATTCAAGTTTTTTGTTTTATTTTACACTTTATGGATATAATCTTTGATGACCATGATTAATATTTGAAGTTATGCATAATTATCTTTAACATTTTAATTCCTCAATAGGAACTTATTGTTTAATCTATTAATAAAAAGCTTAACAATGATGTAAATAATGAATACGTTTTTTGCTTGTTATGTCTTCTAATTTGGGCGATCCTAAAACAAAGGATGATTTAATTATAGCTGCTTCAGACGTGCGGAAATGTCGAAAATTTTCAGATTCGCCGCAGTTCAAAAATGGACTTCCAACAAAATATTGGGTTAGATCATTCCTTATAAGAAATACTGGAATAGTTTTTCGTACCCTTGAATCTATTAGTAAAGTTGCAGCAATGGTTCCTGTGAGCAGAAGTACAAGATTTTTTGACAATTTTTCCAATTTTTTAAGAAGGAATGGTTTACTTCATGTTCTTGATCGTCCAGATGCTTTTTACAATATCGATGAGACAAATTTTGAATTAAACCCAAGTGTGAAGAGAGTTTCCTCAAGGAAAGATGCAAAAACAGTTTATAAAGTTAATTCATCAAGACCAAAGAAAACATTACTGTCTGCTATTGCTTTGGAGCTAATGGTTCTATGTTCAAAACCCAGGTTAATTTAAAAGAAAAAATCTGAATTAGAAATGGCAATTTTTTGTTCACTCAAACTGAGTTTGGATGGCAAAACCAAGGCTCCTTTAAAAATTACATTCAAAGAATTGACAACGAATTGAAAGATGTTTCATGTCCTGTTTTTATATTCTTAGGCAATCATCCAAGTCACATTAATTTTCATTTATTTAAATTGTGCAAGGATCTGGGCACATAGTATCTTTTTCTTCAAATTGCACTCATGTTCTTCAAATTTGTGATACATCAATTAAATAATTAGAAAAGAAAAAATGGTTGATGAGATTGAGTTTATAAAATTTTTAAAACTGATGAATGATAGAATTATGACAAAATCAAAAATAGTTAATGGTTTCCATGTTACAGGAATTTTTCCACTAGATATTGAGAATGTTCATTTTGAACAATGTATTGGAGTAGATAACGATTTTGAACTTGCTTCCAATTCAGATACACAAGTAACATCTTAATGTTTTGAAATATCTACTTTTTCAAACATAGCTTCTTCTAGTAAAAACATTATCAGTAATGAACTAATTGTTCTTGTTCAAGGTAATCTATAATCGTACAGGTTGTCAGTATGAATAAAATGGTTTATTTTTTAGATATTTTTACGTTGATTTTTTTTTTAGAACCTTTTGTGTATTCATTGATAAGGTGATATCTATTCTTCATTACGTCTCAAAAATAAAGGAAAATATAGAGCCATTGCATAACCTTTTGAGCTACACCCCTGGTTACTATGTTCTGAATTCTTTAGTTATGAAACAGCAGCTTGATATACTTATATCAGCATTTTATAATGAAATGGCATTTTCAGTTTTTTCAACTTTAGTTCAAGATGTGCCCAAACTTCAAGAACCAATTAAATGCAAAGCCAGGCCTGTAGCAACCGAGTGGGTAGCAGGGGCATTCCCCCTTCAACCTCCCCCCCCCCCCCTCCTCCCTAATAATTTTTCAAATAAATAATTTTGAAGACGAGGACTGAAAAAATGACTAGAAAAAAAAAAAGTCCTTAAAACAATGATGATGAAAAGAAAAAAAAGGAAAAGGAAAAAGATTTGTGAAGAACAAAAAATAATGCAAAAGAAGATAAAAAAAAGATGGCCTGTTGCTAAAAAGGAGCATGATTGACCTGCTAAAAATATTTAATATGTATGTTTTAAGTTGTTTTTAAAAATGAAGTTAAATTTTTTTTTATTTTTACAAACTCAAATACATTTAATTTTAATGTTACTTTATAAATTTATTGCATTTCTATCAAAAAAGAATTAATTTTAATTTTTTCAATACTGCAAAAAACAGATTTTATACCGCAAAAAATATATTTGTTAAGTAACTTAGTTTTTAAGTAAAAACAATATGGCGCAATAAAAATGGGGTAGTAACATGTATAATATTTTCTTTACTGCACATTTTGCTGCATAATTCATTTGAAGAGAGTATATAAGTAAAAATTTATAGGTATACAAAGTTTCAAAGAGCAAAATACAGCAAAAAACAAATCTTTTACCTTAAATATAAAATTAAATTGTCAAAGTTATGAGTTTCTTCTTTTTTATAGTGTTCTACTTTCACTTTTTATTTCATATTTTTTGCATGTGTAGCTCGAGCCGTGAATTTGCATTTTGGAATGAGGCTGATGGTTTTGGGATTGATTTTTGTGCCCGATGTTTCATACTTTTGTTTTTTTATAGGGTGTCAAAATAATTTTTGTTTTCGTTTTTTAGTTATTTACATTGTCTTAGTAAACTAAAAACTAATGACTAAAGTAGAAAATATTCCCCCTTTTTTTTGGATAGTTGTTGAGATTTAATTTGGTTTGATTTTGGTATTTGTGATACCATTTATTGATGACAACAGAAATGAATGAATCTGTTTTAATTTTTTGTTCATATTCTGTGAAATAAAACTAAAATGAAGTTGTAAAATAAAACTTTCTTATACAACAACTTTATTTAAGACACCAAACACGGCTATTAAGACTTAGTACTATTTTTTTAAAGCATATTGTGTATTTGGGTTTTTTTAAAATTTGATTGGCTAAGTTTAAAACTTCGCTAGTGCTTAATGGTGACATAAAATCATGTAAGATTTAGTGTTATTTAAAATGATACATAGCATCTTTTTTATTGACAAATATGAAAGTTTTTTCTCATTTATTTTTTCAAGTCAGATATAAATAAAAATATTTTAAAACATCACAGTGTGATGTTTAAAAAATATTTTTTATTATTTTTTCTCTTACATCAAGAGGGCCACTATAATTAAAGAAAAGGGGCTATAATCGGCTATGATAGATGAATTGAAGTTAACAGTTAATTATAACTTAGGTATCAAATCTTGAGGTTGAAGAAGTCCTTCCTTCAAAATCTGACAGCAGTTTTGCTAGTAGCGTTGCTAGTGATGATGTAATAGAAACTGAGCAAAGAGATAACAATAAAAAATTTTCTCAAGATTCTACTAAAGGTAAAATAATTATTTTTTTTTTTTTTGCATTTAAGTAACTATTATTAAGCATCTGTCATTCAGAACATTTCATAAGTATTTTATACAAATTTTATATTTTTGTATGACAATATTTACAAACAAGGGCAATTGATAAACAAGACCATTCAAAAATTGGTAAACAAGACTGTTGTGTAGAGAAGCAAGTAGAATCTAAGATTCCATAAATGTATAAATGTTTTATGCTTTTTACATTTAAACAATTGCTTTGCGGCTGCAATACTTACCATTTACAATGTACTAATGTTTACTGGTGATGTTAGTTTTACTGTTACTGTAAATATTTTTTTCCTATCAATTTATTTAAATTAATATTAGATTAATATTATATAATATTAGATTATTATTAGATATAATATTAGTTATCATTTTTTGGTTACATTACACGGTAATCATTACTTTGGTTTCCCTATAATCTCGGGTATAAATCTCCATATTTATGTTTCTTTGACCAAAAAGCTGTAAATAATTTTTATTAATTATAAGTTTTCAGAAGTTGTATAAATTTTTTGCAAAAAATGGTAAAACTTTTTAAAAACCTTTGAAACTTGTTGATCGAATTAAAAGAGACATTAAAGAGACTAAAAAAAAAATTGTTAAAAAAACACTTTAAAGATTTTTATAAACATTTTAAAAAATTTTAAATTCAATATCTAAAAAAATATAGAAAAAATTGAATTTTTTAATGCTATTGTTCCATGTTTAATGTTAGTCTAAATTGATCAATAAAAACAAAAATTAAATTATCTAGAATGTAAAACAAAAACTAAATAGTATTATCTAGAATGTAGCATTGTATTGTGGGAAATTGTACATGAGAGTGTAGTTTATTTAATTCATTTTTTCTTTTTTTTTTATCTTATGATGCTCACCTGCAATTTTTTAGGGGGTCATTTTTATTTTTTAGTGGGTCAATACTTTAGGTGATGTTAATTATTATTTAGATTTCATTTTTGAAGCATAAATTTTATTTGCAAAGGTTATATTCAGCAAAAGTAGTTTTAGTTGAAATACCCAAGGTCATAAATTTCCTTTTCAAGGTAAATACTCCAAAAATCAACAAATGTTGATTCGTTTAGGTGGCTTATTATTAGATTTGAGCTTTTTTGTTCTCTCATTCTATTTTTTTTTTGATGATTTATATCCAGATCTTCACTTCATGGCTTAACCAACAATGATGGTTAAGTACATGGTTTCACTTCAACAATATGAAAGCTTTGTTATTAGGTTTAGTTTTGCTTATTCCTGTTTTTATATCTAGCTGAAAAACAAGGTTTAATGGTATTTTTTATTTTGATCACTATTTGTGATTAGAGTCTGAATACAAACAACCTATATATTTTAGGTACCAAATCATAAATGGAATAAATGGTTATTTGAAAATTTTGAAAACTTGAAATTTTGAATTTGAAAACTTTTTTTAACTACCTTAAACAAAATTTATCTCCAAAATTTTTATAATTCAATAAATTCATAACATCAAAAGTTCATTTGATGTTAAGAATTTATCGAATTATAAAAACTTATATAAAAAATATATTATAAATTTAGTAGTTGACTTTACACAGCCATAACTTTTGAACATTAGATTTTTTAAATAAGTTTTAAATCTATGAATAAATTTTATCATATGGAAAACATATTTGTATCATATTCGAAATATTGTTTTCATTAAACAATTAACAAATAGTTATTTGTTAAACTTTGACACCAACGTTTAATAAAAAGTATTATTTGTTAAACAAATAGTACTTACAAAATAGTACTTATAATTGTTAAACAAATAGTACTATATCAAATAAGTAAAAGTACTATTCATTAACCGAATAGTATTATTTGTTAGCAAATATTACTATTTCTTAAACAAATAGTACTATTTGTTAAGTGAATAATACTATTAGTTTAGCCAATAGTACTATTTTCAGCCCGTTCCACCTAGAATACTGTGGATCAAGCTGTAACCATGGACTCAAAGACAAACAGCAAATTGAAAATGTGTTAAAAAGAGTTTCGAAACGAATTAATAGATTATATGATGAAAAGATTATTTGCGTTAAATATGATAACAGTAAAATACAGGCTACTCTGTGCAGACCTAAACCTGGTCTGTTTGATTACTATTTGTTAAATGAATAGTACTATTCATTTAACAAGTAGTTTGGTAAACAAATAATACTGTTTGTTAAGCAAAAAAAACTTTTTCCATTATGTACCAGAAACTTAAACTTGTCAAAGAAAACTAATTTAGAATAAGCTTACAAAATTAGAGACAAGTTGTTAAACACAATTTTACCGTTTCTGCTTCAAATAGGGGAGAGTTGCCTTAATTAGAACACTTTAGGAATAAATATTTATTAATCAAAGATGGCTTAACTATTAAAACATTTATGATTTGATTAATACAAACAGACAACTCATTAACAAAGAGTGGAAAAAATAGCAAATAGTATATTTAATGATGATGTTTTATGAGGATCTAATACTATTTGCTAAACAAATATATGTTAAAAAAATACAACTATTTGTTAAGTAAGTAATTCTGTTTGTTAAGCAAATAGTACTATTTTCTAAACAAATAGTACTATTTATTTACTATTTGATAAACGAGTGGTACCATTCGCTAAACAAATAATGCTATTTGCTAAATAAACAGTACTATTTGTTCAACTTTGTAACTGAAGTTTAACAAATATTCATTATTTAACTTCGTACAACTTCCAAACACAAAGTTAAACATATTTTCCTGTAGCTTATCCAACACAAAATAGTTCTAGTCCTTGCTAGTTGTCATTTTGTGCTTTCTCTAATTAAATCTGTCTTTTAATCTTTTCAATTTATTATTTGTAATAAAATATATTAAGGATGTGCATTAGAAAGTGTTTGCCAAGACCAATACTAATTCTGTAGGGACAAAGATCTAGTCCAAAACTTTATCACTAAATGTAATTATTATAGCAAGCAATCAAACTTGATATATCTAACATTTTATTTTAATTAATACTTGATATAATATGTGTAAACTTAGTTATTGCAAGTTAAAAATTTAGAATAAAACATTAATTCTACAATATTTTTAGATAATTACCACTTGATTAAAAATGTTCTACTATAAATGTATTTCAAGTTATTGATTTTTATTAATTGAATTTAGGTACTACATAGTTGATTTATGACATATTTTCTGGAAATGACAGTTGTATGCTGATATTTCTTAAACAGCCAAAATTTTAAAAACATTTAAGGGTTATTTGGTTAGTAGGTCAGATTTCTTAGAAAATAAATCTTCTTTTTTAGCTTGATCTGGGTTTGCTTTTAAGTTTTTAGTCAGCAAATCTGTTTGTACTTGTAGTTGATGTTGCTATGTAGTAAAACCAAGAACAATGTGCAGTTTTATTTTTATTTTAAGTTAATTTAAAAAGGTTAAAGTGTGGGGAAAAATATACCCTGTAACATAGAGGTCATAAAATAAAATGAAATGACCATTTAATAAATGTTTAAGAACTTTGGAGAAAAGTTTGATAGATGTAGGAGATTTAAAAAAACAGTGCGTAAAATTTAACTATTTAAAAGAGACATGCATTTCAAAGAAGGGTTGTAATTTTTGTTTATATTTTTGAAACTTCAAAACAATGAGGTGGTACCATAAAAGTTTTATGATCTGAAAAATAGGTCTGGATAAACATTTGTAAAAAAAATGTTTAAAAAAGAAAAAAATAGTATTATGGAAATATGAAAATATTTATTTGAAAAATATAAAAATTTTAACAATAAGTCAATTGTTTTAGCAAATTGCAACAATTGTTTACTTTTTAAAGCAGGAAATGGGTTAAAAGTTTTTGGTTTGAAGTGTGTCATTTTTGTTTCTGTCATTATTAGCAAGTAATCAATAATTATTATAACTGTTGTTATCAGTTTAATACTATAATTATTATGTATCAATGTCAGGTCTATTTAAAATGAAAACTATAATTGTTATGTATGAATAGTTATTAACATAGTTATTATGAATAATAATTGTAACATAATTATTATGAATAATAATTATGTTATTGTGTTTATGGTTATGGTTTGTGTTGATTTTGATGCTTGTTGTTGCTCAAAATTTGGAACTAACTTTTATTCAGACACATTTTAATGCAGAAATTTTTCTTATTTTATCGCTGGACGTGTTTGGACGTGTTTGGACGTGTGGATGTTTAAAATGATATATGACTAATTACAGCCTAATAAGATTTTTTTTTTAATTAGGGTTATCCAAAAGTAATGATCTAAATGAGTTAAAAGCAAAAAAAAGTAAGATATGTTATAAACTATTATATTATATTGTATATTATATATATTATAAACTTTTATTTTTATTAGTTTCATTTTAATATGTTTTGAGTCTCTATGTATTTCCGTAGTGTTAATGTATCTCTTTCAAATCTATATATATTTACATCTATTCACTTTTTCTCTTATTTGGTTATTCATTCTCTTTTGGTCTTTCTTCCAGCAAAGATATCTGTATCAAAGATATCTTTTTTTTAGACATGAACATCTTTGTAATCAGTCAGGTGCTTCCTGGATTTTTTTTGGTGTCTGTTGTTGGCACAAAAAACATGCCTAAGGCAGTCTTCAATGTATGTTTAAGCAGTTTGTTTTTACCCTTATCGAAATATTGTACCAAAAAGGAACCTGTCTGTTTGATAATGGCTGTAATGAAATTACATATTTTCACATGCATGCACATTTTAAAACTTAGTGTACTATATTTATTTTGTACATAATTTATCACTTTATGAAATACTTTCAGAAAAAGTCCAATGTAAAATTATCATTTCTTCTGGGTATTCATAAGTACCTTGTTTCTTGGTATTTGTTACCTTGTTTATTATTTAGTATCTTGTTTGTTTTCAATTTTAGATACTGCTTGTGAATTTATCTTAATTCTTAAGGTTTTAACATCTTTAATTATCACTTTTATGAAATTCTGTTTCGAAAATTATAAATTTTGTCAATTTTTGTTACAATGTGTACATCAAAGTCTGAATAAACTCTTTATGAAAACCTGAGAAAAAGAAGAGTATAGAATGCTTAAAGAATTGAGTTTTATAGATTAACGAATACTTTCACTACAACCTTTACATCATTTACAGAGCAATGAGTAGATGATCATTATGAAAAGGTGATCATTATAAAACCTGTTCTTTATATGCTGAACATATATTTATATTTGAGACTGATTTACAGCTTAGGTTAAAATGGGCTCAAAGTTACTTATAAGATTCTAATTTTTTTAAATACTTTTTCACCTCTGCAAAGTTAGGTGGACACAGTAGCTTAGAACATAAAAAAATTAATTGTTATTTTTTTCATAAAAATTAAAATGTTTACTTTTTTTAGGTTTAGATAAATTATCTGATGAATGGGCATTTACAAAATCAAGTGGAGTTGATTGGAAATCATTGTGTATGCCAGCAATCCTTCCATTAACTATAGATTGCTTTCCAGATGAAAATGACTTAAAAAAACAGTATTCAGAATATCATTATACATTAGTAATAGAAGAAGATAATGATCAAACTAATAATGACAGGTGTCACAATTTTATTGATATTTTGTTTAAAATAATTATTTATTAATTGTTTATAATTTAATGAACATTTTGAATTGTATTTAATAGCTGATGATTGGTGAAGTGCACATGTGTTTAAGTACTATTAAAATGTGCTTTTTTGGTTAAATATATATATATATATATATATATATATATATATATATATATATATATATATATATATATATATATATATATATATATATATATATATATATATATATATATATATATATATATATATATATATATATATACATTTACTCTAATGTTAAAATCTTGAGCATTAACACATCAGTTTTTTTACTACTTTTATCCAATAATAAGTGGTACATAAATTATCATACAAATTGAAAATTTTTATAACTTTTCTATAAATAAAAAAAAACTATTTGGATTTTTTTCTTAAATAAAAAAAAATTATTTTTGATATATTCATCCATTCAATTAGATAATTTTGAGAGTATAATAAAGCTAAGAACTTTTTAAATACGGCCAAAAAATTTAAAGTTACCATTGACACTTGAAAAAGAAAAAACAAAATTATTTTCCTGAACATTAATATAGATGTATGTGTTGATTACTACAGCCTTGAAAATATGAAGCAATGGATTGGACATATCACAGATATGGCTGTCCACATTAAAATTTTTTACAGAATTTTTTTTTTTTTGCAGGACAAACTTTTTCTGGCATGTTTTTGGAATTTATTTGGAAGTCTTTTCATGTTTTCTGTATTGATATTTTTTAAAATCACTATCAGTTATTGATTGATTTACATTTAGTTAAAGATCTAATTTCCTCTGACTGACCTCTTATCAATTATGGACAAGTTTCTTTCAGGGTTCATAACACTCAGAGAAAACCAGGGAGTCCTCTTCTTTACAATTTTTTGGATTGTTGTTCAATGTTGTCCTCTCATGGAAATTATCTATACAAATGATTGCTAAGCTTTTATTTGCCCCTTATGGAATACTGTTGTCATATTTAGGCTTGTTCTTTTAATGATGTTCTTTTTCTTCTAGACAACATCCAAAAATGCATTGTAAATGTAGTTGGATCTGCTCTATCTGCCAAGCTTGAGTCTCACTCCATCGTTGTAAAATTGCATCTCTTTCTCTTTTCTACAAATACTATCATGGTCAGTGCTCAAAGGAGCTATCATCTCTTGTTCTATCAACCAAAACTCATTTTTGTTTGACTTGTTATTCAGCAAAGTCTCATCTTTTTGCTGTATCTGTCCTTGCATGCTCTAAACAAAATTTATTAGTCTACTTTTTTCCCTTGCACTTCATTCCTTCAGAACTTTCTTCCATCTTTATGTTATTCTAACTCATACAACTATTCAAGTCTTCTGTCAATTGTTTCTTTGGTCTTTAACTCTATTCTTTGTTTTCTAGTAATTCCTTATTTAATAGTGGTTGCTTTCAGCCTTTTTGGGAGTAAATCAGAACAAAAAAAAAATAGTTTAATTCATAATTTCAGAAAAAACTTATTTTCAAGAAGACTGTTTACAGAACCTTAAACAGTCTTCTTACAGGTACTGTAAACAGTCTTCTTCCTAACCAGTATAAATACTGGTTACTTCCTAACCAGTATTTATACTGGTTAGGAAGTAACCAGTATTTATACTGGTTAGGAAGTAACCAGTATTTATACTGGTTAGGAAGTACTGAAGCAAAATTTAAATAAAAATCAATAACTGCAAGTCGTTAGTCAAAGATCATATGTTATCAAATAATCTTCAGCCACAAAGTTTTAAAATTACAAAAAAAAATGATTGTCGATGTAAAATCAGCCTATAAAAGAAATAGAAGGCATCTAATTTCAATCACAGATAATAATATAAAAGAAGCAAGTCATTTAGCAAAAAATGTTGTTAGTGATGATATAAAAAATGTTGAAACAAGACGTGATCAACTAAAAAAAACTAGTAAAATGTTGCAGTTTGATTTTGTAAAGTTTGTTGAATAAGTCAAGGAGAAGCAATATCTAGGGTTAATATCTAAAGCTAATGCTATGAAAAAAAATCAAATGAGAAAAACAAAGATATTAAGAATTAGAAAATCAGGGAATACTTTTCTTCTCTAATCCAGTATGTTAGATGACCAGAATGTATCAAAAAACAACTACTAAGTCTTGAAGTATTTTAAACTTACTATAGATATATGCATCAAACAACTAAATTCTTTAATTAGCTAGAAAAATTAAATTAAAATTTGTTCAATAACTTTTGCATTACCTGTTGCATGTATATGTATAAATACTATGTAAATACTATATTTATATATATATATATATATATATATATATATATATATATATATATATATATATATATATATATGTATATGTATACACATATATACATATACACATATATACATATACACATATATATAAGTGTGTGTGTGTATATATATATATATATATATATATATATATATATATATATATATATATATATATATATATATATATACACATATGTATATATATATATATATATATATATATATATATATATATATATATATATATATATATATATATATGTATATATATATATTTACTTAATTTGTTATACCATGTATTATGCTGTTTAATGTATCATTTATTATGCAATTGTATTTTTGAATTTTTCTCACAGTGAAAAAGTTGCAAAATTAGTAGGTCGTTTTGATCGTAATGCAATGCCTCCTGAGAAAAAATTTATGGAAATGATTTCACAGAGATTAACTCAGGTTATCATTTTTTTATTTATTTATCTATACTTTTTAATTTTTACATTTTTTTTTATTTATATATATTTTTTTGTTTTTACATATTTTTTTATTTTTATGTATTTTTATTGTTTTAAATGCTTATCTGTTAAATAATGTAAAGTTGTAATTTTTAAAATTTAAAATTTTTTATAGGGTTTTCAGTTTGTAACTAATCGTAACATTATGAGAATTCTAAAGCTTACAGAAAATGCGTGTCATCCCGTGATATTTGATGCAAAGAAAGAGTATATTTTAAGTCTTGGTAGATCTATACACCACTTAAAGTTAACTAATTCTCAAGTGCAAGTTACTCGATACTTACTGCGTGAATCAGAGCAGCTTAACCCTATTCCTTACAAGTAATGGTTCTAGAAATATATTTATTTATAACTTTTACTTTATAAAAGAAAAATTGTATATTTGTAATAGATTTATTAAAGAAAATCTGTTACAGTTATTTAAAAATTTTTAAATAACTTTTTTTATTAGTTTATCTTACATACTGTTAGTTGTTACCTACCATTAGTTGCATACTACATACTGTTCTTAACTATCACTGACACATACTACATACTGTTGTTACCTAACAATAATACATACTCTTAGTTGTTGTTACCTAACAATACTACAAACTCTTAGTTGTTACCTACCACTGATACATACTACCTACCAATAAATGCAACCAATTGTTAGTTTTTGTTTGGGGAAAATGATTATCAGCATCTCTCTACCTTATTTCATATCTCTTGAACTGTTATTCTTTTTTTGTCAATCAAATTGTTACTGTAACCTAACTAATACTTGATTAGTTTTCTTACAATTAAAAGTAATGTCAGTTTTACTTAATGTTTTATCTTGAATTTAAAAACTTTCTTATCAGTTTCTCTGATTTCGATCTACTTGTTCTACTGATGAATTGTAAGATTACAAATGTCACAGTAATGTGAGATTTAATTTTTAGTTTAGCAGCAGCACTTGAAATAGTTATTAAAAGATTGTTCATTAAGATTTAATTTTTAGTTTAGCAGCAGCACTTGAAATAGTTATTAAAAGATTGTTCATTAAGATTGATCAGTTAAATTGAGAAATCAAAAAAAATAATTTTGCACATTTTTTTAATCACATTTTTTTAATCATATAAAATATTATTTTTATATACTGTAATAGTAAGTACCAATTATTTGCTAAAATAACTCATTAAAATAGTTGTTAAATTTTATACTAAATTACCACTTGTTAAAATTGTTGTTTTCAAATTTTATAATAGTTTTTAACATAACTTTTATAAGAGTTTCCAACATAAATATTATAATAGTTTTCAACATAATAAGCAACTAATCAAATCTTTTATTATAAATATACACAAATTTATTTACACAAAAAAGCTATTTGAATCAGGGTAAAAGTATTGCAAATTTAATTATGCCAGTTTGACATAATTTTAGCAGCTGGTTGGGCTAAAAACTTCAATAAAGAGATCATTACACAACCCCCTGGTTTTAGTTATATAGTTACTAGTTTTGATTCCTTTAAATTTTTAATTGCATTTATGAATTGGAAAAATTATAATTGTAATATTATGATTTTTTCCATTTGTTTTGTTATTCAGGTACAACCTTTGGCCTCCCAGTTATAACTTTGACCATTATGCATGTGAATTATCAGAGTTTCAATTTAAATCTTCTGACCGTTACAATTGGAATAACTTAGATGAATACATATGTGAAACTGAAAAAGAGTGTGTTGAAAATAAAAAAAGTGGAGAACTCAGTGAGGTGAAGTTATATTTTTATTTAATGTTTGTGTTTTTCATTGTTATTCTTATCAGAAAAGAAAATAAATTTACTTAATCAAATGTCTTTTTAAATTTTTTTTCAAAAGACACCTTACAGAAAGCACATTTACAATGCCTTGTGAACTTTTTAAGGTTTAATGTCTCAATTGGCTCAAAAAGTTTTACAGGGCGTAATACTGACAGTTTCCTTAATTCTACCATTAATGTGTATTCAGTTCAGAATTTCCCAATGGGGGAGTGGTGAGAAACAGTTCAGAATTTCCCAATGAGGGGTGAGAAACAGTTCAGAATTTCCCAATAGGGGGTGAGAAACAGTTAGTAAATTTAAGAATATTAATCTTAACAGTTGCACTTTTTGATTTTATGATTTTATGATCTCACCCCCTCATTTCCCAATGAGGGGGTGAGATTTCCCAATGGGGGGTAAGAAACTTAAGAATATTAATCTTAACAGTTTTAAACTAACAAACTGATAATTTTGCATTACATAAACTGACATTTGGTTGCATGTTTTTAATGATTACCCATTGTTAACCTTATTAATCATTACGTATCATTGATACATAATTATTGATCATCATAATCAAATGATACATTATCTTATTATATACAATATAATCAATAGCATCAAACATCTAACACCTTTAAAAAGTACTAGAGAAAATAAATGCCAATCACAAAATTCATAATAAGGAATAGTAGCTTAAACAACCAGTTAAAAAAAAAAGAAAAATCAGCCTTATATATTTAAACTCAAAATTGTGTTTAATAAACAACTGTTTGATTATTAAGCGATCCAAATCTAATTGTTTAATTCTCTTCCCCACTGACTATATCTTAAAAGACAGCAGAAAATTAATTGATTTAAAGTTCTTGGTGTTTGGTTAGCACCTAATTTTCTATACTTTAAAAGTTTGTATAACTTCAGCTTCTGTATCTATAAATGATTTCCTGTTTAGACACTTCTACAGCTTATAGTTCAGACAACACACCTGTTATAGTTTTGTAGAGTGTTCTCTGGAGTTGTCGCCTGTACTTTCAAAACTATTTAACAAATGCTTATCAGAGTTTTGTTTTCCAGCCTGCTGTAGCATCTGTTTTTCTATTTTTAAAAGCTCTAATTACTTTGCTATCAGTCTTCTTACTATCTTTAATTAAGAAACACTAAATCTTACATCATAAATCTAATAACTTACTATCCAATCATCAATATAGATTTTGATCTTTTCGTTCTACTCCTGATCTGTTTACAGTAACAAATGATTTTATTGTGCATTAGATGTGATAGATGTGGAGAAATTAGGCTATTGCTCCTGTCATTTCTAAAGCATTTGTTAAAGTTTGGCATGCTAGTCTTCTCCATAAGCTCTTTTCTTACAGTGTATTAGGTAACATCTTTAAGATTATTGAATACTTCCTTACCAATTGTAGTATAAAAGTTGACCTCAATGTGCAGCACTTTTCTTCATTTTCTGTAACTTCACAGGTTTCTCAAGGTTCTATCCTTGGCTCTATACTTTTTTTATTTTATACTAAAGAACTCAAAGAAATTTTCACATCTAAGGTGGCATTGTTTGCTGATGATACTATCTATACTCTTGTCTTGATAAGAAACCAACATTTGGAACCATATATCAAATCCGTTGCAAAATTAGCATCTTAAAAAAAAAAAAACTTTTTCACTCTGGATTCTATCTCTGTAAGTCTCTAATCTGTCCTTATACGATATACTGTTGCCATATCTGTAGTGGATTTTTAAATGATACCCTTTCTTCTTTAGACAAGGTGTTAAATTTATTCTAAACATAGTTGGACCTGCTCTTGCACCCAACATTTAACCATTGTCACATTGTCATAATGTTGTTTCTCTTTCTCATTTCTTTAAATACTATAATGGGTGTTGCTCTAAAGAGGTAGCCTCTCTTGTGCCATCTGCTAAAATTCATTCTTATGTTACTCGTCATTCAATTAAGTCTCATCCTTTAACTGTGACTAATTGTAAGGGCTCCTAAAATTCTTATTTGTCCAGTTTTTTTAGAGTTTGCTTATTTCATCTTGTTTTTCTGATTCATATAATTTGCATTCTTTTGAGTCATCTTTAAAGTATTATTTAATTGTTTTTACGTATGGAATATTTTATTTATAATTTTTTTTTTTTTTTAATGTTGAATAATTAAATTTAATATTACATTATTAAAAAAGTTTGATATCGACAAATTTCTTTCTTTTCTCAACATTTTGCATAAATGAATTAAAATATGTTAAATTTTTGAATTTTTAAATGATTATTTCTTAAATTTCTAACTGTGGCTTTGCAACTACAAATGATTTTTTCTATTTAAAAAAAATTATTGACTAATAAATAAAAAAGTTAGGTTAATATATTTACTTTATTTATTAAAAGTTTATTATTTTATTAATGATTTTGTTATAAAAACTAAGATTATTTTTCCAAACACCATTAAAATTATATTGCTGTGTATATTTTTTATTGAAAAATAATCGCTGCGATTTAACTTGCATTATAAAAAAAAAAGTTAAACTTACATTTTGTACAAATTTTTGATGCAGCCATTTATTTAATTTTGACTTAAAAAAAATGTTTAGAAAGAAAAACTGAAAAAACAAGTGCAATAAAAATGAGCTAATTTTTTTTAAGAACAGATAAAATTTAAATATTGAACAATATCTAGTAGTATTTTAAAATAAATTTGACAGTTAAACCCATTAACTTTAATTTCAATAAACTTAAATTTTTTAAATCTAAATTAAATTATATATTTTTATTAAATTAGTTTTAAATTAAATCATATATTTGTTATCTGAATTAAACTATATTATTTTTTAACTATAAATATTTTTTATTGATTTTTTTAATGACCTTTTCTTCAAACTTAACTATCAGCGTTTTTCGATCGAAAAAATCAATCATTACAATAAAATAAAAACAAAATAAATTCTTAACCACTGAGTTTTTTTCATCAGTAAATAGTGCTTATATCTAATAATTGTCATTCAAACTTATGTAACAAATGATATAATAAAAGTTGCTTAACCAAAATCACTTACTGCTTCCGAAAATTGCTCCACTTGTAATGCTTTAAAACAAGCCCTGTATATATAATGTTGGGATATTGAGACATGTGCAAAAAGGTACTCATGTATCCTAAAAGGTACTCATGTATTATCCTAAATCATGTACTGATTTAGGATAATATTAACTTAATTTGGTTGAGCAATGTCACTCTCAACATTTATTGGGATAATTACAGTCCTAATGTAATAATTACAGTCCTAATGTAATAATTACAGTCCTAATGTAATAAAAAAAGAGTGATGTTAGCATTCAAAATAGGTTTCTAAAAAGTACTTGTAGCATTCAAAAGAAAAAAAAGAAAAAAATATTTTGAAAAAATAATTTTTTAAAAGATATTTGTAACTACCTAATAATATAACAATATATAATATAATAAATGACAATTATATAATTCACTGTAATTCAAAAAAACAAAGTTAAAAAAAAACATTCTTAATTTTGTAAATATGCAAAAAAATCATGTTTACTTTTGTCTCCATTTATGGTCTAGTCAAGTGTTTGATTTAAATTATACTATGATTGTTTTGAAACATTTGTTTATGCTTTTATTGTTAAAGCAAAGTTGCAATATTTAATTTTTTTCTGTTTTGTTTTTATGAAATTGATTTTTTTTTATAAAACTTTGTTTTTTTATTTTCCTATTATGCATATATACATACATACACACATACATACAAACATAGATGGATATAGTATATATACATTATTATACATATATATAATTTCTCTGTGGTAAGTTTTAATAGTCAATATATATTGTATTAGGTAGTTATATTTTGTATTAGGGTATGTTATACTTTCGTACACGATTTCTGCTTTTACCAGTTCGACAAGTTCCTTTGTCAACTTCAATTCAAACTGAAAATATTGTTATGCAACAAGTTGAAGGGTTTATTCGATTTATTGAAACTTTGAATAAAATAAAACGAGGAACATACAATAAAGATTTGTTTTATTGTCGTGTAAGTTTTTATTTTTACTACTTTTTAATACTTTATTTTTACTACTTTTACTGTAATTATTTAATTTCAATTTTTTTTTGTAATTTTATTATCTAAATTATTGCATCTTTATTATTTAATTATTATTTTAATATTTATTTTTTTATTTCTAATATAAAAAAAAAATTATATATATATATATATATACTATATATATATATATATATATATATATATATATATATATATATATATATATATATATATATATATATATATATATATATATATATATATATATATATATATATATATGTATATATATATATATATGGTTATATTGTTTTGTTTAGCATCAAAATCTTGCTACAACACCTGTCAGGAAGGTTTCTTATGATCATACTAAAGAAGTAAAACAATTTATAACTCCTACATCTATTGATAGAAAAGATAGACTAAGAGAATCTCCTAGTATCATAGATCTACAAGAGAATCATTTCAAAGATGATTTAAAGTAAGCTGATTTTTTTTTTTTAATTTGTAATTCAATTGTGTTCTTACAAATTTTTTAGAAAAACATTAAAATAAATTTTTAAGTTTTAGTGCATGTTTTTTTCAATTTTTTTTATTGTATAGAATTTTTTTTAAATTCACAAAGAATGTAGAATCTTTTCTTTAGTTACAAAAAGGTTGTTTTTTTGTTGTTTATTTGTAACATTTAGTTACAAGAAGAGATAAAAGGCTGGGGTCAGAGACAAGATACAATTCAAGCAGTTAAGTGATTAGAATTGTTTGGAAAACGAATCACAAAGTTTTGAGTAGGAAATGTTAAAGTTAAGAATGTTAAAGTTAATTAATGTTTAAGAAATGTTGAAGTTATGGACTTTAGTGCCATAACTTCTGGTTCAGGGTCAGTGGCATTAGAGCCAAGCCATTCAGTGTGATGAGCATTAAAGTAACCAATAACAACAATATTGGCAGAAGGGTAAAGAGAAAGGGTATGATCAATTTGATCAGAAATTGTATCTATATATAAATAAAGAGTGCAGTCTTCAAAAAAAGGATAAAATAAAGAACAAAGAGCAAGGGGTAGAGTGAAGAGGTGCTAAGTGGAAACATATAAAAAAATGGTCAAAGGTTTCAAACCTGATTTCCCGACAAATAGGTGATTTTATGTGTAAGTATACCCCCAATCAAATCAAAGGATAGTAGCCATTAATGCTGAGATCTGAAGAAAGAACAGCTAAAATTAAATTGGTCTTACAAACAGTAAGCAAGTCTGGTGCTTTTTGCAAGAGGTAAGATTCTACTGATGAAACGATCATGAACATTTATGAAGGATATGAAACAGTTAGATGGTAATGATGGTTTTTTATGTTTATTATTTTTATTTATTTTGGGCATGGTTCAAGTTAAAGAGAACTTGACTCATTTATAGAAAGAGTATGGCATTTCAAGTAATGCACAATGCAATTGTCTCAATTTATTAAGTCAAAACTTAGGGGTCCTTATGTAGCCTCAACAATACCAAAAGTACTAATAGAAACACCATCTGATATAACTTTAGGAATTGTTGTCACTATTAATACTCTGATCTTGGAGCTCCTGCAGAGTTCAGGAAACCTGCAAGCTAGCCTCAATGTGTTACAAATTATCTTTTTTAATTATTGTAAATCAACACATCAGATTAATAAAGTTATTAACAATCGAGATTAAAAACAACAAATCAAATCAAGAAAGGAAGAACATAAACAATATTACCTTTATTATCATTTGTAAAATTAATGTTATCAAGCAAGATATGGAAGAAAACTTTTCAGACACTTTTTCAACTATTTTTTTACTAACTCACAAACTGTTTGGAACTGATTTAAATGATTTAAAACTAACATAAAATTGATTTTATTTATATTGAAATATTTTATTACAAATACGTTTTATAGAAAAGTAAGTCAGATACATCCTAAACTTTATAGGTCATAGAAAAGTAAGTCCATGCAGATACATCCTAAACTTTGCTACTACTATTTAAGGAGAAATTTCTGTACCATCTTTTCAAACAACAAATAATTTCTTTTTAAATATGACATTTTTCTGTTTATTGGTAATGAATTGATTTATAGAGTATATAGTTACTTTTCTTTTTCATTTTAAGAGACATTTTTGTTGCCTTACATTTACGTTTAACTTAATTATTTAAAGATTGTTGTCAAAAATCCAACAAAGTTCTGAGTTATGATGATCATGCTTTGGTTCCAACAAAGTTCATGCTTTGGTTGATTATTTTGAACTAAAGACTACAATCAATATAAACAAATATACAATCAATTTATTTAAAACTTATTCTATTAACATACAAATTTGTTTTATACCATATCAAATATCTAATAAAATATTTAATTAAAAACCACTAAAAATATTCGAACTTTGTGTTTGTTGTACCTAGCTTAACTAGGTTTCTTTGTTCCTTTAATCAAGTGCTTCAAAAGTATTTAAAATAAAAATACTTTAAAAAAAGTTTTTTAAATACTAAATACAGAATACTTTACAACTTTCAAAATATATGACCAAGAAATACACCATTTTCAAAATTTATTTTTACACTCTCTCATTCTCAAAAGTAATTATTAGTCATTATACTACATTTATACTTAAATATCTTTTATTCAGTCATCTACATTTGTTTTTAGCAGCAGCAGTTGTTCAAATATCACTTAAACAGTAACGCCTAAGCATTGTTCTCCTATTTTTTCTATATATTAAAGGAAAAATATATAGAAGACAATATAGGAAAAAAACAATGTAATTTGTTTTTTTTCAAAAGGAAAGATGTAAAAATGCATATCAATATAACTATAATGATAAATTATATTAAATTAATTGTATATTTATAATATTAATAGTTGTTATTAATTATAAAAAGTTTTGTACAATAATAATTTTAATAATTATAATAATTATTTTAAGGTATTTTAAATTCTCTATGTACAAGAGTGAAAAACTAGAATTTTTTTAGGTCACTTTTAGTTTTTAAATATATTCCATTATTTAAAGCTTTAAAAAAAAAAAGAAAAAAAAAAGATGTTATGCTAATATTATTTTTCTACCAAGAATTGTTAATAATGTTTCTTGCAAATCTTTCTTTTAGTTTCTGTCATGTATTTCTAAGTTTATGTACCAGGTGTGTAACTATTAAGTTACTATTTGGCACTTAAAAACAATCCTATATATATATATATATATATATATATATATATATATATATATATATATATATATATATATATATATATATATATATATATATATATATATATATATATTATATTTTATAGTGTTATATCTTATACTAATGATGTTATGTCTTTTATTATTATTCAGCTGTCATGATTAGCTTTAGCCTTCCCCTAAACAAAAATTAAAGAATTAAAAAGAATAATAAAAAGAAAGGGATTATATTATCTTTATCTATATCTTCTTATGGTGTATCTGGAAACATCTTTAAGATTAATGAATCCTTCCTTTTCAATCGTAGTATAAAAGTTGTCCTTGATGGACACCACTCTTCTTCTTATTCTGTAACCTCAGGGGTTCCTCAAGGTTCAATCCTTGGCCCTATACTCTTTTTAATTTACATTAACGATCTTCCAGATATTCTCACATCTAAGGTGGCATTGTTCGCTGATGATACTACTATTTATTCTTGTCACGATAAGAAGCCAACTCCCTCTGATTGCTTTCAGGGGGCATCTGAGCTTGAAAAAGATCTCACTTCTGCTACAGCATGAGGCTTACAGTGGCTAGTGAACTTTAATTCAGATAACACTTAATTTTTTTCAGCCAATTGTTATCGCAATAATTTAGACCTTCCTATATTTATGAACAGTAATGTATTCGATGAGTCTCCTACCCTTCATCTTCTAGGATTAACTCTTACTTCTGATCTTTCTTGGAAACCTTATATCAAATCCGTTGCAAAATTAACATCTGCTAAAGTTGCTTCTCTTTATCGAGCTCAACACTTTCTTACTCTGGATTCTATTTTCTATCTCTATAAATCTCAAATACAGCCTTGTATGGAATACTGTTGCCATATCTAGGGCAGGTCTTCTAATGATGCCCTTTCTCTTTTAGACAAGGTGCAAAAACGCATTGTAAACATAGTTGGACCTGCTCTTGCAGCCAACCTTCAACCTCTGTCACATTGTCGTAATGTTGCTTCTCTTTCTCTTTTCTACAAATACTATAATGGTCACTGCTCTAAAAAGCTAGCGTCTCTTGTGCCATCTACTAAAATTCATTCTTGTGTTACTCGTCATTCAATTAAGTCTCATCCATTTTCTGTTACTGTCCTAAGTGCTTTAAAAACTCTTATTTGTCTAGTTTTTTTCCTCGAACATCCCTTCTTTGGAATTCGCTTCCTTCATCTTGCTTTCCTGATTCAAATAATTTGTAATCTTTTAAGTCGTCTGTCAATCCTTATCTTGCTCTACAATCTTCATCTTTTCTCTTCCAGTACCTTCCAACACTAGTTAGTGGTTGCTTGCAGCCTTGTTGGGAGCAAAGATGTTTAAAAAAAAAAAATATATATATATATATATA